CAAAAAGTGTGTGATAATACAAAAGTTTTTCTTTAATTTTTTTATTATCTACAACTCTGCCATTAAAGGTTTTGCGCTAGCAGGTCACGTTTTCGTGTTTGAATTTTATTTTTCTTAACGTTGAATCCTCAGCAACATTTTCCACATGGTCCTTGCCGGTTATTATTTTTTTACTATAAAAAAATTCGTATCTACATTAGCCTAAGTAGTCAGCGCTTGTTTCAGATACGAGACACGTACCACGGATTGCTGAGCAGATCTCCCAATCTAAGGCCGTTTATCCTCACCCGAGGGCATTTCTCTGGCTCGCAACGGTTTGCAGCCATGTGGACGGGCGATAATGATGCGAAATGGTCGCATTTAGCCATCAGTTTGCCGATGTGTCTTTCTGAAGCGTTAGGAGGTGAGTTAGGCACATATATGAGATCGAGAGTGGCCAAGAAGTACTGATTGTATGAATATTTTTTTATTTCCGACAATTAAAAACTCTCCTTTTTGGATCAGTGGTCATAGTCATTCAGTGGTTTCACTTTTCTGTCGTGAAAGATGCCACTAGCTGTTATTCGTGTTATTTTGAAAACGATTATTTTGCTCTTGCAGGTATCAGCTTTTGTGGTGCTGATGTGGGCGGATTTTTCAACAACCCTGACCTCGAATTGCTACAAAGGTGGTACCAGGTAAGAAGTTCAGTTTGTAAATGTTTGAGGAATATTTCAGTCGTTTACACATATATTTATGCCTGTTTTCATCTTTGTTTTCCAATAATAGGCGGCGATTTGGTTGCCGTTTTTCCGCGCTCATGCCCACATCGACACCAGACGTCGCGAACCTTACCTGTTTAATGACGACGTAGTAAATCGCATTAGGACGGCCTTAAGGCTGCGATACGCCCACTTGCCTTTGTGGTACACTCTCTTCTATGAGCACGAAACGACGAAGGATGCGGTGATTCGGCCCTTGATCTACGAGTTTTCGTCCGACGAGAAGGTTTTGGACATTGATAACACTGTGTTGCTAGGTCAGAAAGGGCCATTTGCTTACTATGTTCAATCGGGGAGGAACAAGTCGATAATTATTGCTTTACAGGCGATTCAATCCTGGCTCGTCCAGTAACTGAATCAGGGGTTTCGTCAGTTGAAGTCTATCTACCAGGTAAAGTTGATTCCAGATGGTATAACTTGGAAGACTTCCGCTTATATCTTGCGGGAAGTCACAACATTCCAGTTACGTTGGACAGTGTAAGCTGTTGAAGATGAGCGTTTGAAAAGCCGATTAATTAAGATCGTGGCATTATTTACAGCATGTGGTGTTCTACAAGGGCGGAAGCATCATTCCACGCAAAGACAGGCCGCGTCGATCATCCACAGTGATGCACAACGATCCGTTCACCCTCTATGTGGCTCTGGATCAATATCAGACGGCCAGTGGGACGCTTTATGTTGATGACTATCAAAGTTTCAACTATCGCGATAACAAGAGCCTGTACATCATCATGCGGTTTGAAAGCAATAAGCTAACTCTTAAGTAAATGACTAGTCTAGAGGCTTGAAATTTTCAACTAAAGGATTGAATTCTTCGTATTGCAGGCGCCACAAGTTGTCGGGCAAACACACAACGAAAGAATGGGTTGAACGGGTTGTGATTTTGGGCCCGCCTGCTGGGGTGACCGGGGCCAATCTGCAGAGCAAGAGTAAGAGGAAATTGTATAATGCGAGACAAATTGTTAAACTGTCTGTTTGGAAAATGCAGGTTTAGGCGTCCAGCGCCTGGAAACATCCTACGACAAAGAGCTTCGCTATTTAACCATTAGGAAGCCTGGTGTATCAGTGATGGAAAATTTCACCATTGAGCTGCTTTTTTGAAAAGTCAACACTATCATGATAGTTAACCATTTTCCATTTTCTTATTTAATTCAATAGGCTTAAAGGAGTGTGTACGTTCTACTGTTATTGATGGAAGTAAATCTGGGTTTAACTTCAAGATACCTTTATACTACCATAATCGTAGGATTATGGTGGGTAGCCACCTTTTATCTCTTGTCGCCATAATCAAACTACAGCGAATTGAAATAGGAATGTCGTATATTAATCAACATTTATAAAATATTTTAAATTGTAACAAACATGACTAGATCCATTCTGATTCACAATAAAAACGTAAAGTAATTGAATGACGATCGTGAAGGCGCCGTCCGACGGACAGACCGTTAGGCGCAAGGCGACCAATCATTTTCCGCAAAAAACGTCGCTTTTTCTAGTTTTCTCTGTTTGGATATTTCCTCAAGCTTTTGCTTTTTTTGCGACTTATGCTCAGTCGCCTCCTTAACTAACTAAACGTGAAAGTGAACCGAATCGAAAATGGGAGAAAAAGTAAAAATAGTTCAAAATCTGCAAATAATTCCAAATTCCATTGGGTGTAGAAACATTAATTGTTGACTGATTTTTTTTATTTGTCTCGGTTTCGGTTCATTTTCGGCCAAAAAAACACAAAAATAAACCAATTTATACACAATAACGTTCCACAAACAATCATACAGTTTACATTATGTCCAGGTCATTTTACGAAAAAAAGAAATCAAATTTATTGTTCGGGTTGTTTTGATTACTTGATTATCTACACAATTATATGATTACAGCAGTTGTCGAATTCGATTTTTTTAATAATAGGTAATATCCTTTTATTCATTTTCTGTTTGCGCGGGCTTCGGGCCTTGATTCGGTACCTTTGTTAGTCATTGTGGTTCAGATTAGGGGCAATGCGAGCCGTCTTAGCTTAGAGTGTATTATTAATCGAATAGCAGCAGTGCCTAAGTAGATCTGAATCAAAAGGAAGGAATTGGATTGATTTCTATAAAATGCTTTAATGCTTTCATTTTGCCCCTAATTTTGTTGAAAAATCCGCAAATCAACAAATTTTAATCATTAGTATTTTTTTGCGCGATTTTTTGGGTTTGGCGTTTGTAACTTTTCAACACTCATATTTATTGTTGGTAAAAATTAGGAAAATTACGTATAACGTCTACTTAATTTGTAGCCGACAGGAAAATTTGTATTATTAATTTTGAGAAAACAAGCGATTCTTTAAAGAAAAGTCAGCATGTTCTGAAACCTAACAATGCAACCATCAGATTTTAAGGTTTTCAGTTGTAGGCAGAGTTTAACAAAAAACTAAAGAAAAAGTTGATACGAATTGAAAAGTACATTTAGATATGTAAGTGTCAAGAACCGGAAAACTGATGCATCAACTTAATGTACCTACTCGGATTTCCTGATTCATTTGGGAAGCGAACGCGTTATTGCGCGAGCATATTTTTAATGTTTACTGCTTGATTTTTTTATAATTCGCTTACAATCAATGACAACAACTTTCGTTATTAGAGAATGTATGGAACGTATCAAGCATCCGTCGGTTTCTATGTGGAATGCGCTTGTACGTGTCTGAAAATGTTCAAATTGACTAAAACTTGGGTTCCTTTAGCTCAGTTGCGTAACTTTAACGGCTTTTATACATGAATTTAATTTTTAACGTTGAACAGTTCTATCCATATAAGTAAGGTTATACACAATAAATCACAGGCGATTATGAATGAACAAAAATTCGTTGGAATTCTTGATATGACGTGAATATAATATTTCGATTCTTCTTGAGTCCCTACAATGATATGAAACGAAACCGATTTACGATATGTTTATACAAAATATACTCATAAATTCATATAAGTGAACAATGGCGAACCGATAGAACTGAGCCAGTCAAATATCAAGTATAAGAGGAAGGTTTGTAGAGTGCCGAATTAAGGCCCAGAGCGACCAATCGCGCTCGGTCTGCCCCTCTACGCGGGTGGATATGTAACAAGGGCTAAAAGCTAATCCAACCCTAGGTAAATAAGCTTCACACAGCCCAAAAATACAAGCACTTAAAACAGTGCCGGAACTAATTACACTTTTTTCATTAATTTAACTTTAGCGCTTCTGGCCAGAGGATTTTCCGGATGTGCAATGTGTCAATAAATTTTTTTCAAAGATTGATACGTTTCATAGCTGCAAAATTATATTTAATTTTTTTTTATTGGAGTACAGATTAATTATAAATTAAAAAAAATAGACCACCCTCAGGGCATAGCAACAAACAGTTGAAGACCAAAAGCACCTCCTAAAATCCCCAACCCAGCAGCGCCAACATTATCGTTTAATTGGTGTGAATGAGCACTACACAGCATCGTTTTTACGCACATCACCGATCAAATGGCCTCGCTGACGTTTGTCTATGAATTTTTTTGGCGCAGTCGACTGAATATGCGGAAATGACGCTCGGTCAGCGCGAGATGTTCGGTAAGTTGCCGATAAAATGCGAGCGGTTCGAAGGGCACAAGTTACCGACCCCTTCGACCTGCGAAGATGGCGAAAAGAACTGTTTTTTTTTTATTTTTGGCTAGCTAGATCGAACCTACCTTAAAAGTAGTTTAAAGTCGCCTAAGAATGTTAAGAATCCTCTACTAGTGCCTACCTAAAAGGAGTTTTAAACTTTTTAAACGTTACACGCTTCTAAGCAATAGTCTTAAAGCGTCCGTCGCGCCATCTGCAGAGGGAGGGCGCCGAGTGGAAGAAAAGGTGGGTTGAAAGCAAGAAGTGTTCGGTGTTCAGTTGGAGAAGCGGTTGCTTTTCTCTAATTAATATCACAGACAAAAAATTGGTTTCGAGACATAGAGGTCAACGTTTCTGGGTCAAATCTTGCTTGCGGTCAATTAGCAGCGATTGGTTAGTTGTTTGAGCATTTGGGACTTTAGTTGTTAGGCCACTTTACAAAAAATGCCCTCTATATCCGTATTCCTAATCTCAATTTTTGCGACTGAGCGTCATTTCGGCGACGTGAGTTGCGTCCGACTGCGCCTAAAGTTGGTTTCGGCGACGCGCTTATATTGGCTTTGACTCAGTTTATAATATTACGGCGAATTATTATTTTTAATCTCATTTAAACTTATTTATAGGTATTTTATTATGTAATAATAATTTTTGGCAGGATATCTCACCCTAATAAACGAGCTGGGGGCGCGGCCTGGGCCGAGTCTGCGCACCGACGGCGGCATAACGTTTAATTTAGATTTTTCGAAGAAGTCTAACGACTACATGACTACTATACATAGAGGCGGATTTGGTCCGCACTTGGCCCATAGGCGTCCCCAAAATAATACATCGCACATCTCTACAGGGTTATTCACGCTGGACGGCACGGACGTTTGCGGCTGGCCCGTTTGTTTTTTGCAAAGTATCATTTGATCAATCCACAGACGCCTGTCGGGTGCACATTTAAACTTTTCAATCTTCCGTGCCGTCTAGCGTGAATAACCCTGTATACATTAAGTAATAAATCACACACCTTCATCCCAATATTACCATCACTTATTCATCACATCATCACACTGAAGTACCGAGACGTAGTCCTAACTTGGGTAAAAATTTGATGTAGCAGTTTGAGAAAATGCGGCACTTGCCGCTTCCGGCGCCCTCGAATCGGTGTCCGGTTTTGCACTGCGCAGTTGCTGCACCGATAGCAGCGCCGCACCGCGATGAAACTACAACTAAACGCACTACTCGTTCCGCTGACTTTTTGGCTACTTGCTGCGGCTGCGCAGGTTCCGCTGCGTCGCTTTCTCGCAGCAGCTGGACTGACAGTCTCGCCTACGATACTCATAATAATGCTCAAGACTGTCTTGATGCTGCTGTACGCTAATTGGCATGTGCTTGAAGTCTCAAGTGCGGAGTCGCCCTCCGCTAGAGATCGATGGGGACGCAAAGCATCCTTTACTAAAAACAAAATCAAACACCTCGATTAGTTTTCTAGTAGATTTTTGCAGTGATATTTTGCCATGACCCC